CACACACACACACACACACACACACACACACACACACACACATATATATATATACATACATACATATAGACATATATACATACATATATACACATGCGCAGTCTGTCAGCCATTCTCACTGTCACTGGCATTTCTTTGCTTACTAGATAAATACTCATAGGGTATTTCCAGACTTCCTCTTTTCCCTTCCCATCTAGCGTCAAGCTACTTCCTCTCGGCTAAAGTAGGTCAGACAACTAAAGCTTTTCATCGGGCCAAAAATACATTAAAAAGCCATATAAATACAAATTTAATATTGGCAATGCCTCTTTAAAGAGAGCATACTGAAGCTGGGGACTGAGGACGGGCTGCTTTTTTGGCGATTAATGGTGAGTCAGGGAGATAGGAAGACCCAGATACCATCAGGACCCTCATTACAGCGTGACCAGGGGTCTTGTGGGGGGGAAAGGAACAGTATTTACCATTTGCAACCTTACAGCAGAGCCCTAAATGATCTCATTTATTATACACAAACCATCGCTTACACCTTAACAGAAGAAATGGTATCAAACACAGACTTAGAATGTTGAGTCACTTATGAGCTTTTCAAAGTCAACCATAGGGAGTATGTCAATTTAGCTCATAACTGAACAATCAGCTAATTTTTTTCTTAAATCATCATAGATCTTAGCCCAGAATATCCTGCTCTCCGACCCCAAGCTTTCCTCGCTTGTACAAAGCATCCATTAAATAAATGTAAATCCAGAAAATGAAGCCTGTTTGGGACACAGCTGAGAATTATGCCATAAGCGATCTTACTCTAAAGCCAGAGGGGTGATTAAGTGTAACGAAAGAGATGCACGGGATGTTCTTCAGCTCGTCTGCTGTATTAAAGCGCTCCCTGACTGCAGACCTCCTTCAGTCACGGTCACATGACCGTCCGGGGGCGCTCACCTCTTCCGGAGGACGATATGGAACTCCGGGTTGTGCAGGCTGGTGACGGACACGTAGGGCAGCTCGAACTCCTGCAGCTTCCGCATGACTGGAGCGTGTTTGGGGAAAGAGGGTGCAGGGCAGGTGAATTAGGTGAAAAAAAAAAACAGGTAGCTGATTTAGAGGAGAGCATCTGGAGTCTTAGGTGGCTACTGGGCTACTGTCTGTATGCACTTTGAGATCTTCTATGTAAAATGTAAAGTGCATTATAAATTAAATTTATTATTATTATTATTATTAAAGCAGCACTGGAGAGTATTCAGCTATACAGGTCAAAGGGAGAAGCCGGACAGTGACAGCAAAACCAAGAACCAGATAAGGTCTTTAATATTAAACATACCTACTCTTCTCCTAGTTCAACGGTCACGTCTAAAATCATGAAAAAAATATAACAATCTGCAGGTTGTAGTTCTGTGCTGTAGAAGCAAACGTCTGAGTGCTTTAATGCTGAACTAGAATAGATGCTCTGGAAAGACGCGTCGAACGTTTTGGCAGGAAGATGTGGAGACAAGAGGACTTAACGTTATCCTGGTCTGTGCTGCCAGAGTCCTTCTAGAAGGCCTTGGACATCAGGGCACTCAGAAGCCTTTTCTCACCGCACAAACAAAGCTGCTCTCCTGGGAGCAATAACTCAGATGTTCAAGGATTTTTGGCAAGATCAAACGCGGCCAGCCGAGGTCTTCTGACACGGCACGTCCGCCTGAGAGACTTCCAGAACTGCTGCGGCAAATGTCGCTTCCACAGATTGTTTTCATTTGTGAGAGAACTGGCATATGCATACAAATGGGTTCGGTTAGCACAAAAAAAATTAAAAACCCAGTCAACAATTGTGATGAAATCCAGCATAAGAATATCAATACGCCCCAGATTACGCCTGAGCCGAAAATGTTTTTGTTGACAAGACGACTGACGCAGACTGAAATCCTCCCTCTGTTTTTGCTTCCTGATTCCGGGAGACTGGCATAATTCTGGCATCCAGAAGCATCTACATGCCACTTAGTCAAGTGACTGAACATCTAACCTTTTCCCCCTATTTCCAGGAATACCACCTACAAAGGCTTGGGGAATCTGGAAACTTAGGGCGACTTAAAATAAAATGCACATGTTCAAATTTGAGATATTTACTATGTGGGCTGTGATACGTTTTATATTTAATAAAAGGAGAATCCCGGTTGTTGGGGTCCTCTTGCCCCTGAGCTGCTGTATGGGAGCGAATCGGGCCGCATTCCTCAGAGGAACATACAGACCCCATGCGTAACATACCGTCTGCCTCTTCTGTGATGTCAAAGGAAACGAAAATCACAGGTCCGTTAAAGGCTGCATCTGACGCTGTGCCCCCCCCTTGTCTCCTGACGACACACCCCACCTAGTGCCTGGCCCCATGGGCATTTTTGGCCTGTCTACGGCGGGGGCCAGTGAGAGACAGGCTCACGGGCCGACACGTGATTTATGACAGGACGCCCCTGATCATCTCGGACAGGCTACAAGAGTAAATGAGCAGAGCACATGGTCAGATGTTACCATGCCGTGGTGTGGTGTGTGGGCGGGGGGGGGGGGGGGGGCAGCAGCCAAGCAGAAATGTTTCCTGTATCTGTTTGGACGGCAGCCTCGAGGGTCCGCCAGGTGACCGCCGTTCGACCGGGCAGGGGACCGGGAATGCCATGTGGAGCAGGTGACAGATCACCGCTGGCCCTACTACGGTGAACCCACGCCCAAAACAAGTCGCTTGTTCCACCGCCCGTCCACCAAAACTGGGGAAGTGTCATACTCACACGTGCAGCCGCCATCTGGTGTTTCCCGGACCAGGAAGAGGCTGAAATATCCCACCAGTTCATCCGGAAGGTCCAGCTTCGCCGCCACGGCCTGCGGATGACAAGATCAAGTCCATCAGAGTGGGTTAATCACCATACCATGCAGATGTTCAGAAATAACTGTCCCCCAGGACAGTAACGGCACAATATACAGATTACGACGACGAAAACAATATCTTCATCATCATTATCATCATCAAGTTGGGCTAATTGTCATACCATCAAAATGCAGGTATACAGCAGCATAAAATAATGCTCCCCCAAAACCACGATGTAACGTACAGACAGCGAGTGACAAAGGCAGGGATACAAACTAACTGACATGCCCCCTTTCTACCATCCTGGTCATGGATTCGCTTCAGAGCTCGTTTCGGGTTTGGTGACTTCTGAACAGATGGACGTAGCATGACTGACCTGGGCTGACGTGCCCAAAGACGGCGAACCCATGCAGTCTGCATGATCACCACAGGCTCCCTCTAGGTTTTCCAGGTTCCTCTCAGTCCAGAAACATGCAGATAGGCAAACTGGTGTCCCTAAATAGTGCGTGAACATGTGCTCTGTGACAGACTGCTATTCCAGTCAAGACTTCAGCTCCAGTGTGACTAAGGGCTGTATGAGGCGCTACAGAAGACAGATGTATGGTTGGGAAATACTAAAATGAGTGAAGGAACAGACTTTTACATTTTTCAGATCACTTCCAGAAGAACCTGGCAGTTTTAATGGAGACTTCTGGAACATTCTCCAGCAGCTGACAGATCCATCATCACGGTTAAACAGCTTATGCGTAAGGTGTCGGACTGGGGTCTCAGAGGGTCATCAAGGTGCTCTCTGACCTTTCAGACCTTGAGGTTGCATAAGGCAGGGGGGGTGGGTGGAGGCAGGAGAAGATGGGTCTTCTTAAAGGCACACTCACCGCCAGCCAGATCAGTGTGCTCAGATAAGGGCATATGACCTCCCTCTGAAGCTTGCGCTTTGCCATTAACGACTAATTGCTTTCGCTATTAATTCGCTATTGATGCTAATTAAATCTGAGGCCTGATGATCTTGTTACTTTGCATTAAGTGCTCCAGGGCCATCATGTTTGTTGCCAGGTCATTTAATAAACAGAACAGCGACTCAGACAAGCATGAAATGCTCCTTTCCCCAATCAGAGGTTATCATGCCACAGCAGAGCATTTACGGCTGCTTTTGCTTCTCCTCTCGGCGGAAACAAAGGAAGTTACAGAAGTTGAGTTGGCGTTGGATGCAAAGCAAAAACCAAACCTGAGATCTAACGGGAAGACCCGATCACCATTTTGAGAACAGAAACCCAAAAGACGGAGAGACACACGCACACTTCTCTCAATGACCCAACGACATTCTAGAAACAACTGCAAGCTCATTGGAAGATTTAAATAGAGGGTTTATAAACAGGAAGGCAAACAGACTCTGAATAAGGACAATGGCTGACGGTTTGCACTTATCCCAATTTCTTACAATCACTGTAAACTGCCGTTTCCAAGGCCAGAGTAAGATCCATGGCAAATTTAACTGGGAGGCTTTTCCATGACTACAGAGCACTGGACCGCTGTCCTCGTGGGGTTTTAGTCATGCGTGTCAGACGATGTAGCAAACTGACGGAGCGTATTTGCAAAGCGTGGAGCAGAGCAGTGGGGCGGGGCAAGAGGTCGATACCTCCAGGACCTCCTCGGTCTGGTCCGATGTCAGGATCTTCACTGTGACTTTCTGGCCATTGGAGAGGGACACATCCAGCTGGACTTCCTCTGTGGGAATCTGCTGCGTCTCCTGAGGAGCAGAGCAAAATCGGCGGACAGTCACTGAGCAGATGTGTCCAGGTCACTGGTATAAGGGTTATTTTACATTTACTTATTTAACAGAAGCCTTTTTCCAAAGCGACATAATTAGAAGCGCAGGATCAGCCACATCGAAGGGCTCTAGGACCTAATGGTGAAATCACTCAGCTGATCCTGGGATTTGAACCAGCACCCTTCAGATAATGGGCACACAGTCCTAACCCACTGAGCCATACGCCCACCTTTTACAGATACATTTTACACCCCCCTTTTCATTAATCCAAGGAAGAAAAACACAACATCACTTTCCCCCTTCTGTGGGAAATCTGTAAATCTAACCAACAGACTACCTTCACCTTTTACTTAAAACAGTCAAATAGCAGCTCCCTGAAGATTTGAGAGAACAAAAACACCAAAGGCAGAGTCAGCAGAAAGAGGCTTCCGTGCCTTGGGTGTGGTGGTTTACTGAATAAATGCGAGGGGGGGGGGGGGACCCGCTTGGGCAGCAGGCTGCTCTCGCACGGAACAGGATATCCCAAAAACAAAGAGGAATCTGTAACACGTGGCCAAGTTAATGTCAACCGCGAAACACTGGAAGAAACACATCGCTAAGTTCTACAGATAGAGGCTTCTGCTAACTCTTAGGGGCCAAAGGGAAGATCAAAGACTGGAGATTGCAGACCCCTACCTGCTGAGCCTTACGCAGGAAGCTGTTGAACAACTCGCTGGCTCCAAGCACGGGGTCCTGGCGTACTACGGAGGGGGTAGAGGGGGGCGTTAATGATCAAACACAGCCAGCGAATCCCCGTAATGTCCACTACCCCCCGCAGGAGCCTTTTCAGCTGGAAGCCATGATGAATTACAGATCCATCTTTCTTCTCAGAAGCTTCCACATTATTACAACACAGAACCATGTTTATACAGCATTAAACATTAACCAGAAACAGGAGAATTGTTTTCCTAGCGTGACGCTGAATTCCATAGCATTCAAAACAACATTTTTGGGCCCTACTGAGATGTAGGGCCTCATCTAACTCATTATGCTTATAAATGTTTAGTGATTCAATATTTAAACATTACATTGTCTAATCGAAGCACCTTAAATTTGTATTTTTGTTTTATTTTATTTTTACCACTGGCCAGAAGATGATGCAGAGTAATATTTTCATTGTACAGTGTAATCAACGACGGTGCATACGACAAACTGTTGAATCCACATGGATGCCTAAAAGCGCAATCTTTTGCAAGCCACGATTTTTCTATGAATGAATCCAGAATTCTGTTGGACAGACAGAAATTTATAAAGCCGGCTGACATGAGAAGAGGAGCCCCAATGTCAACACTGGACTGCAAGAATAACCGGCAGACTCTTCCCATTGCAAGGAAATCCATAAATATTGAATGATCTACACTCTTCCAGAAAACTAACACAAGACAGGCAGGCCCCCAACAAAGCCAGACATTACACCACACTTCCTATTAATTACGAGTGTTAGAGTAATCAGATCTCTGCATTTCACACTCCACCCTCCTTTGGGATCTGCCTGCAATAAGCTGCAATCATCCTCTATTTCCGTGACAACACACTTTCCTCTCAGTGTTAAAAAGTGAGTTTTTTTTTTTTTGATAGAACAAGCATAATACTCATAAATATAAATGACTGGACTTGCAAAGTGATACTTAGCCATGAAGAGAATTAACAAAATGCCTTTAATTAGCATTAAGTTTGGAACTACCTGATCATGAAACACAGCTTAATTGCAATGTTGAGTTAAAAACATGAAAGAGGTAGAGTGTTTTCATAAGCGGTTTATTATTAATTACCCATTAATGAGATTATATATGCATCAGCAACAGTCAGTAGGGGTCCGTTTCTGAAAGTGCCCGGTATCTCTCTTACTGCCATCTATTTTATGATGTATTATGAAAACAGCGACTGTGCTTCACATGCTGATGAGGACCACCCCCAGTGGGACGGGGGGGTGGGGGGCCGACGACGACCCGCCACCACTCGCCCACCCGGCCGTTTAGAAAACACAACACACAGGCGGGGGCAGGCGAGAAGGGGGGGAGGGGGGGGGACAGCCTGGATGCCACCCAGTGTTTCGCTTCGCATTCATCACAGCGAAAAATAAAGGGGGGGGGGGGGGATGCAATTAGTTCCCTCCATTCAGGCATCTCCAAATTACACATCATGCACCTTATTCATTCAGGCCGATTACGCCTCTCTGACGGTTAATTTTCCGAATCGCGCTAAGCTGTGATGTAACCCCCGCGTAGGGGGGGGGTGGGGGGCAACCACAGCCTGGATATTCCCAGACTGTGAGCAAACACGGCGAACAGGGGCGAGATTGTTCGGCGGAATGAGCCGGAACATGGTGAGACACACGTCTCATTTCCCTTTAACTACAGACACGGGGGGATACTGTACGACGACTGGGCCGCTCGCACAGTGAAGGCGGCCGAGCTTCGGGCTGCCCTCTGCACAGAAGGCATAATGTACTCTACATCCCAAAGTCCACAGAGGCTTTGTCCACGTGACCGGTCCAGGCTTGGATGGGACCCAGAAGCACTGTGGAGCCAAAAGTGAGCCAGTCTGGTAGAGTCCGACAGGGACCCAATGGTAGAGTCCGACAGGGACCCAATGGTAGAGTCCGACAGGGACCCAATGGTAGAGTCCGACAGGGACACAATGGCGTACCGGGAGCAAGATGGGTCCATTCAAGGTACTTAAAGCGACACTTCTCCAACTGTTCATTGAGGTTAAAGGGTCAAACTAAAACACGAAGACACCTGGATTTAAGCAAATGATGGTTGCACTACATTCAGTACTCTAAAAAGTGCACATTGTTACTTCATTACCCGTAAATATTATCCCACTTATGCATTATAATCCAGACCCTCATCTCTTGTATATACTGCATTTTTTAATTTTGATTATTTTTTTTTTGTTTTAGTCTATTAATGGGTATTTTCATTCTAAAATGTTACTGCTGACACTTCTTTCCCTTCTTCTTACCGCACAGTCCAGGCACGACTTCATTTAACACATTTCACTGCATAACATGCATGTGACAAATGAACAATCTTGAATCTCTAACTGGCAGATAAGCAAAGCAGGAGGGGGCGTGGCCTTTCCTTACCAGCCTGCATGTACTTCTCAAGCTGCTCTCGCCTCTGCTCCACTTCCGCCGGCGTGAGGGTAAAAATCTTCTTTGGAGGGAAGTTTGGCACCACGTTGTTTCCGTACTCCTTCTTTATCTGCGGAAGGAGGAGGCCCGAGGGAGCGTTTAGCCCGCTGCTTGTGGGCGGGGCCCCCCCCAAGGGCTGCGAGCGATGGGGCTCTCAGCGTATGCGGGACCCCAGCCTTTCACGGCGACAGCCGAGTGTGAAGGACACCCGGTCGGCTTTAAGGTGAACGTCTTTAAAGATTCACACCAATCGTCAAACAAATCTGGCAACAAGTGAGACACACCGACCGATGAAGCATCACTGGCTAACTGACACGCTCCCAGTGCCCCGTGAAAGCCAGAGAGGGCCAGCTCGCATTACAGAGCGGAGTGGAGCTTCAGAGTTTCGCAGGAAGATCAAAATGGTAACATCTCAACCAGACTCTAAAGGGCAGGGAGATCGTAACCCGCCTGGGTAGCCGACACCGAAGGCTTTATTATAATGTCCACAATCTACCTGAATAAGTGTTACGCGAGACGGGGACACACTAAAGAAATAAATACATCACCAGGCAGGCACTGAATGGCATTTTTCTTTCAAAGCACCATAAGCAGTCCAAATCTGGCAGCGATAATTGGATGGGAAGCAATTATTATGAGTTGGCTGCCATGTGCCATAACAACCCCGCAGGGAGAGCATCTGATCAGATTCTGTCTGGTGAAGACCTACACCGAGCCGGCCAGGCTCTTGGGCCCCGTTGCCTAGCAACAACGGTTGCCGAAACAGTAAAAGAGGAAAAAAATGAAAAGCCCAGCCGACCGAAGGCACCGGTGTCCACTCCGTGCCGCTCTGTGACTGCTTAAGTGGATTAGCTCTGGCAACCCCCCCCCCCCAAGGCCCAGAGAGGAAATGCCCTGAGAGTGTGGAGACCCACCCCCCCCCGGCTGGCCAAAGGAAGGGGGAGTGAGCTAAACATGCAAATCATTGACAATGCCAGACATTACACCACGGCCAGGCTCCAAGCCAGATTAAAATATGTTTCACTGGCCACGTGTCGCGTCCCGTCGACTTAAAACATTTTTTTTCCATCCCCTGAAGCTTCTTTGTTTGCACATTTTGGCTAAAGTACGCGGGAAAGTATGGAGAATGTCAGCACCTCAGAGGCAAAGAATCCCATGACTTTAATCCAATACTGTTGCTTTTTACCTCACTGCTGAGTGGTGTCACATGACATCAGTGTAATGTGGAATGGTAGGTCTCACTTATTTTTTTTTTATTTATTTATATATATATATATATATATATATATATATATATATATATATATATATATAAAAGCCTCCCAGCGTTAAGTTTTTTTTTTTTAACTACAGTTGGTTAAGATACTGGAAAATGATCAAACTGTAGCTGGCACATTGAAAGCAGCACAGAACAAGAGTTATACTCTGGCTCCTTAAATCACAAGCTGTATGCCAAAGTAACTACTAATGAAACATACATTTTCAGCAGAGGGGTTAAGCACAGAGGCACCTGAAATGCGTCACTGCAGGTGCACAGGCTCGGCGCTGTCTGACCAGGCACAGGCACAGGCTCGGCTTTGTCTGACCAGGCATAGGCACAGGCTCGGCGCTGTCGGACCAGGCACAGGCACGGCTCTGTCGGACCAGGCACAGGCTCGGCTCTGTCGGACCAGGCACAGGCTCGGCGCTGTCGGACCAGGCATAGGCACAGGCTCGGCTCTGTCGGACCAGGCACGGCGCTGTCGGACCAGGCACAGGCACGGGGCTGTCGGACCAGGCACAGGCACGGCGCTGTCGGACCAGGCACAGGCACGGCGCTGTCGGACCAGGCATAGGCACAGGCTCGGCTCTGTCGGACCAGGCATAGGCACAGGCACGGCGCTGTCGGACCAGGCACAGGCACGGCGCTGTCGGACCAGGCACAGGCTCGGCGCTGTCGGACCAGGCACAGGCACAGCGCTGTTTGCCCGGTGGCTACACAGAGCAGCATCTGTCATTTAAAATGTTCACAGGAGCAGGTGCCCAGGACTCTGAGGCATCCCGCTTATTAACAACGTGAATCTGAGAGCATCAGCCTCACCCCTCTCACCTGCTCGTGCAGCCCAAGGAGCTCACTGTAACGGACGCGGCAGTGCAGGACTCCGTTGACGTGGATGTTGTACGCCTGGGGGGGGGGGCAGAGCGGGAAGAGGAGAGAGAGAGAAAGAAAGAAAGAGAGCAATGAGAACACTTACACTGCTTATTATTACTGCCACGTCCTTCGATCCAAACCCAGGGGTTAAGAAAAGACTCACAAAGCTTAGGCACAGAGCTGAACAACAGCAACAGCAGCAACAACAGCAACAAAACAACGGCAGCAACAAAATAACAACAACTGACTCTCAGGCACTGACACAACAAAGAGAAAAGAAAGAAAAGTTGGACATCTCCCCACCAGTGACTAAGTTATTCAATACACGCTGGCCTAGTTTCATGATCCAGACAGAAGAGTAACTTCACAGGCAGCCAGATTCGCATGCCTCTCCAGTTCAAGCTCTGAGGTCAGTCCTGACCTCAGAGGACACATCTCACACAACAAGAACAGTAATGGACCGATTATTCAATGTGCAAGCTGCAAAGGTGTATAAGCACCAGTGATAAACTGTCACGTCAATGTTTTGTTTTATATATCAATCTTATATACATCTCTTTTATAGAGTTAACTTATTCACAAAATCTT